CTGACGAGTTGCGCAAAAAATGGAGATTTACCGCTGATTACAGAACCGGCTTTACTGATAAGATTCGCGTTAAATATCGCATGCGATTAATCGTGCAGCCCTAATCCAAAGTCATACAAACCAAAGGGAATGCTGAAGAAAGGGTTGATTAATGCTGACTCAGCTGTGCTTCTCAGTTTAGGGTCATTGTGAAGCATACTGGGAATGTAAAGACATACTGCATATTACTTGTTTTAGTCATGTCTAAAGAACACACTAGTACACTGCTTAGATTACTTCCTACCTTTTGATCAGATCCCGCAAATGAAAAACAGGGATAGCCGGGTAAACCAAAGCATTGCTTGAAAAGATATGGTCTACTATTGCAGAACTGTTATCCTGTAGAGACACAACACAATGCCATCTTAGCAAGCATAACAGGTCAAAATAGCATGAGGAACAGTTTACTCAGAAAATTTTGACGCAAATTGTTATTACACTAAATAACATTCAAGATTTAAGTTCATATTCAGGAAAGAGTACAGCTTCACAGCTGCTTGGGCATCAGCTGACCTTCCATTCCTGAGACTTCACAGTTTCTTTCAGTTTGATTCCTGAGAACATCTCCAGAAGAATGATTCCCAGACTCCACAGGTCCACAGCAGTTGTGCAGCCAGAGTCGCTCTCTAGACCTGCCTGGGCCAGTGAGTTCTGCAGCTCGGCTTCAGGTGCCCGGTATCCATCTGTCTGGATGTATTTCACATCCTGTAAGGAACAGACAAGAACCCTTAGTCAGACAAGACAAGAACCTCACTTCCAACCTATATCTGAATACTGAGGAGCATTAATACTACACCACCATTTAAAAGTTTGAGGTCAGCAAGTTTTTTTTTTTATTAATTCTACATTAAATTTAATTTTCTACTTTAAATAAATGATATTCTTTTAACTTTTTATTCCTAAAGGACTCCTTAAAAAAATGTATCACAGTTTCAACATAAACACGAGCTTTCAGTATGTTTTTTTGAGCACCAAATCAGCATATTATAATGATTCATAAGAAGCATGAGACACTGAAGACTGGAGTAATGGCTGCTGGAAATTCAGCTTTGACATCACAGGAATAAAATACTTTTAATATATATAAAAATGAGAAATTAAACTGCTATTTTAAATTCAAAAATCACAATATTACTGTTTTACTGTATTTTGACCAAATAAATGAAGACTTGGTAAGCATAAAATACTTTTTTCAAAAAAGTTGATTAAAAATGATACCGACCTCAAATTTTTTGAACAGCAGTTTATGTTTGTGTATGTGAATAAATTCAGACAGCAAATGATAGGGTGTCTCAGGAAAACCATATCAACTCCTCACCTGGTGTCCGTCTTTAAAGCTAAGGCCGAAGTCAATGAGCTTAAAGCACTCGTCATCAGCGCTCCAGAGAATGTTGCGGGGCTTGAGGTCAGCATGTACGTAACCTTCTCTGTGCAGAAAGCTAAGGGCCTCCAAAACATCACGGGCACAGTGCTGAATCAACCACATGGAATGCCCCTGATTACTCACCCTGACCAGCAATTCTGACACACTCACATCCAAAAGCTCCAACAACAGGCAATGAGTGGCCACACCAAATGGGTTGTGATTGGTGAACATGCCATACAGCGTCACTAGAGAGACAACAGAAAAAACACCAGACAAGAGAGAAAATACCAACGTTAACCAACAAAAATACCAACATTACAATGCTGGAACAGCAGTTGGATCTCCAGGAATCATGATCACTATAGTAAATTGAGTAGCAATTTTACATTTGAAATGCCAGTGTAGGCCTACTTCTGAATTCTTTCTATATTAAACAGAATCAAAATAATGACTTTTTGCATGATTTTAATACCAATGAAATGGCACATTGAGCTTTTTAAATCAGTGGTTCTCAACATTTTTGAGAATATTAAAAGGCCCCAATATCTAAGCTGATTTGTACCTTTGGTACTGAGGTTGTAATTAAAATAAATAAACTCAACATTTTACGTTGTACATCTCTCTTTTTTAGTATTTTAATTAAGATTATGCTAATACAAGAAAATTGTAAATCATTTTAAGTCTTATTGGGGCCCCAGGAAAGTTTGCAGAGTGGTCCCTGGGCCCCCGGTTGAGAAGCAGTGGTTTAAATCGATGTTTGTTAGCTTGTCTTGACCCCTGTATGGTTTACCTATATTTTTATGTCCCTGAATCTTCTCCAGCACAGAGCTTTCCTTGAGGTACCCGTAATCTCCACCCTGCGCGTCCACCTGAAACTCCTTCACTGCAGAACTCGCCCGGCCGGAGTTCACCCGGTACACCGAGGCCGAGACGCCCTGCCCCAGACGAGCCTGCACGTTCCAGATCTTTCCGTAAATCTCAAATACCACCGGGCTTGTCTTCTGATCCACGGCGTCTGGTGTCACCGCCATCGCCGGTGTGCTGACATTTGGATTGGACATTTTTGCATTGGAGCTAGAACTACAAGCCATGAGTAATATCAGTAATAATCGGGGTTAAATACTATCAGGTTTATAATAAGTAGTGTATGCTCCATTAGTTGCCCTTTGCAGAAACTTTATTTTTGCTAAACTGATCTTTGCATAGTGCTTTCCTGCAAGTCAAAGTTTACAGCTAACTACCAACTGCTGGCGAAGATGGATTCAAATGCCATATTTTAACGCAAACGCACAAATTGGTCCGAAGTGCCGCACCATAGTCGGATCTTAAAGATCCGAAAAGCCGAGATGGCGCCTCAAAGACAGCGGATCCATGAAACCCAGTTTTGGCCCGAGCTGACAAATTCCTGCCACTGTTTTGGTGGCCATGATACCGGAAATGACGACATTGTTATACAAAGTCGTGTTTTCTACAGTGAAGTTTAAGTAATTAAGTATGATTCTAATCTATATATATATATATATATATAAATATTAATTAAATATTCCTACATTTTTATCTTATTGACTATTGTTACATTTGGCTCTCCAGAATGTGCCTTCAAAATAAAAACTCCAACAAGAAAAACGTAGGTTATTCATCCCAGGTATTGGGCACTTTTTTGAATAGACTAAATGAATGAAGTCTGGAACAAAAAATATATATATTTTTTTTTCTATTGCGCTTTTATTTCTTGTCCAGCAAGACCTGATATCTGTTTCACTGTTGGCTATGACTATGTGAATGACAGCTCGTCTGTCTATTCACGGACTGCATAGAGGCAGTTAGACCCGCCCATTCGTCCGAAGGAGGTGGGGCTTGTCGGAACATGGGTGTGGAAAAGAAGCGCGTTTAGACTGGTTTGGTGTTTCCGTGTGTGTCCTGCCACGTCAGTCTGACGGATGTCGGAGGAGGATCCCGGGCAGTGAAGGCTACGCTCTCTGGAGATGTAACCGTGTCTTTAGTCCTTTAGAGAGGGAAGTATTAAGTGTTCAGCAGCTGCTCGAAAGGTAAGAATATTATGATGTTGTTAATTTTGCCATCACAAAACATTTCGCAAGGTTTGGTTCAGCAGAGAGCTGTACTGTTGTCAAGAAGGCGGTCTATCGACTTGAGTTTGTGGGCTAAATATGGGTAATTCTTACGGGCTATTGCATCTATAGACTGTATGTTTCTTTTTATGAATGGCTATGACAAATATTGATTCCTTGTTGTCGATAAACCAGGTGTTTTCATTCACTGATGTTGAACAAGTAGGCACAAGATGTATTGAATAAGACCGGTGGAATTTATGAGCAGGTGTGATCTTTAATCAGGAGTGTCAGACTTTTATCAAACTTGATTACTGTCCTGTAGGCTTTCAGATGGCCAGTAATGGTCTATGTTGTGTTCCAGCCAATCAAAAATGATGATCTTTGAGTAAAGGTAAAGATCACACCTGACCTTACTCGAGTTTATTTGACTGAGCACGTGCACAGAGTAGTTATCAATTTATGGTTGGGATAAGACGGGTAGATTTGCCAGGAGTTCGTAAGGCTCTTAGATAATCAGTGTCACTTTGTTTCTGCCTCTGTCCCATCACTGACTGATTCAGATCTAAACGAGAGACCATGGACACCAGCAAACTGGCTGAGAGACTCAATGAAGCCGGGCAGTCTCATGTCCTCCAGTTTTGGGACCAGCTAAGCCCTGAGGAACAAGCTGGGATGATTGTTGACTTGGAGAGCCTGAACTTCATGGAGATCAATAACTTCTTTAAAACTGCCATGAAGACATCTGGTCAGAACTCGCAGGAAAAGGTGGACACCAGGATGGAGCCGGTGCCCCGAGAAGTTTTGGGAAGTGTAACCCGCAATCGTGAATGTCTCAAAGAATGGGAAGAAGAGGGTGAGTTCAGATCATTGTTTCACAGGTCTCCATCTTTAGGTATTTTGCCTTACCTAAAATAAACCACCTAAGGCAGTTTTGGGACCAGCTAAGCCCTGAGGAACAAGCTGGGATGATTGTTGACTTGGAGAGCCTGAACTTCATGGAGATCAATAACTTCTTTAAAACTGCCATGAAGACATCTGGTCAGAACTCGCAGGAAAAGGTGGACACCAGGATGGAGCCGGTGCCCCGAGAAGTTTTGGGAAGTGTAACCCGCGATCGTGAATGTCTCAAAGAATGGGAAGAAGAGGGTGAGTTCAGATCATTGTTTCACAGGTCTCCATCTAACGCAGTATTTTGCCTTACCTAAAATAAACCACCTAAGGTTCTTTGCTGGTTTAAGTGGGTTTCTCAACCTGGCCAAGTTGGAGTTTAGCTGGTCAGCAAGTTGGTTTCCCAGTCTGACCAAGTGGACAGGCAGAGGAATTTATACACAATGCCATTTTAAACAACTGCAAAAGCATAACAGATTATGTTTCATTTAATAATATAACCCAAATGTGATAGTAATTCTTATATGTTTTTGTTGAGCAGAAACAAATGTTGCTACGAAATATTGCACAACAAAACACAATGAATGATGCAATGTCTTCTCCACCTAAATGGACCCCAGAGAACCATCCTTAGACAAATCATGACCCCCAAGAGATAAGAAATCAACAACTCAGGATTTCTGTCCAGAGCCTGTTTAAAGCCACTCTGTTATTTTAAAAACATAACAATAGGTTTCAAATTTAAATAAAAATTGTTTTGTACCAGTACTCCATTTTGGGCGAGGATGCTTCTAAACAGATTGAAAACATCTGGTTCTGGTTAAATGGACCCCAGAGAACCATCCTTAGACAAATCATGACCCCCAAGAGATAAGAAATCAACAACTCAGGATTTCTGTCCAGAGCCTGTTTAAAGCCACTCTGTTATTTTAAAAACATAACAATAGGTTTCAAATTTAAATAAACATTGTTTTGTACCAGTACTCCATTTTGGGCGAGGATGCTTCTAAACAGATCGAAAACATCTGGTTCTGGTTAGATTTGACGTAATTGCTTTACTGAAGTCATGTTGAAATCATTCAGCATCACATCATCTTTAATCAGACTATATTACTATGATACCCAATGATTTTTATGTGTTTTTTTTTTTATGTTTTATGTTATCTTTGTTCAATTCATTTTTTTTATAATTTAATATGATTGTTTTAACACTTCATTTTTTTTAATTCACATAAGTCATATTTTAGCATATTCAAGACTGTGCGTGGGTGATGAAACATCAAGCATAACAGTAATTTATGTTAGATAAAGCGGGCCTCATAAAAGTTGATGATAATTGCCCTTGTTATCTGCAAATAATTAAACACAAACTGTTGCTTAAGAATCCAGACCATTTATACCCACAGCATCCATGTCTTTTCTCAGCATTGTTGAGTAAGTTTCATTTGTACATTATGTAGCATATTTCACATTAAGGACTCATGTAATGGGAGCTGTGACCTATGACAGTTTATTTCTTGAATTGTATGACATAGTTAGTATTAACACCTGTTTGCTAAAGTGACCTAACCTCCCATCATTCCACACAGGCCTGCGTTGTATATCAGAGAACAAAGTGGCAGTTCTTCTATTGGCTGGAGGTCAAGGGACACGGCTGGGTGTATCATATCCAAAAGGCATGTATGATGTGGGCCTCCCCTCTCGCAAAACCCTCTTTCAGATCCAGGCGGAACGCATCAGAAAATTGGAACAGCTCGCTGAAAAACAGCACACAAGGAAGTGCTGTATTCCATGGTAAGATGATCATTAAGCATAATTTAAGTATATTCTGTTACAGTGCACTTACATTTGAAGCCGTAGACAACCCTTTTCAAATTTCCAAGGAAGTAGTTTGAGTCAATGATTGTTGAATCTAATTACTTGGATTACCAGACTTGTTTTGATCTTGAGGAATTTTCTCCCCACTTACCATAATGCAAGTGACCTCGTTACATGGTTTAGGTTGACATAACACCAGCATGTCGTCCTGAGCAGCTAGGTCAGACCTCAAGAGAAAAATAATTTTTAGAGCCGATCTCTACCCAGCAGAATTGACCTCTGATACATGACACATGATGCCCTAAAGATCAGCTCTAATCTTAGCTCATTATTTAAAGACAGATGATAATACTGTGCCACTGTATGATCACCATAGTCATATGACAATATACTTTAAAGAACACCATAATATCACCATCATTTTAGCATCTAAAATTGACTGTGTCCAGAAAAAAATGCTAATACCATCATACTTTTTTCTTTCTTTTTTATAAGTAATTTACCTCAGGCCGTGTGTGTGTGTGTGT